ATAAAAAAAATCCTAAAATTCTCCAAAAAAATAAAAATAAAAATAAAAATCTGTTCACTTTTAAAAACCCATCAAAAACCCTTTTCCCTCTCCGACATTCTACATTTCTCTGTCTCTCTCTCTCTTCAGTAATGCCTCCGAATCTTTGCCTCATTTTCTTCTTCTTCTTCTTCATTAATCTTTCCGCCCTAAGCTTTTCTCCGGCCTCAGCCGTCGGATTCAACTGGGGCACGGCGGCGTCCCACCCTCTTCCCCCGGTCAAGGTTGTGGACCTATTGAACTCCAACAACATCACCAAAATCAAGCTTCTCGATCCCAATCCCCTCGTTCTTCAGGCCTTATCTGGCTCCAATGTTCAAGTCACCGTCGGCATTCCCAATCTCATGCTCAAAATCTTAAACTCTTCCAGAAAAGCTGCCGAAAGTTGGGTTCACGATAATGTCACTAGGTATCTCTCCAGCGGCGCAGGCGGTGTTCGAATCGAGTACGGTTTTTAACTCTATCTCTTGCTCTTGATCATCTGGTTCATTCTGATTTAGGTTTCTTTGAAGTTTGAGCATGTAGATTTGTTTCATTCTGATGAATTCATTCCGTATTGAGCATTAGCTCGAATGGCTATTAACAACGCTTCGATTGAAGACTGAATTTATTACGAACAGTGTTCGTGTCTGTTTGTTTAATTTTCTCCTACAATTTATATGTCCTATTTCAAAGGTTGCACAATCAATGACGGTAGATATCGGCAATAGCCTAATAGCTTAGGAAATTAATGGCTACCAAACCGAAGTACATAATATTGGCCCATGTTCATGATGGGAAGAACAAGTCTTCTATATCTCCAATTCAATTCAGCGAGAGATCTTGAACTAAGAAATAAATTCTTAACCCTAAATTGAGAAAGAGTGTCTCGAGCAATTTCAATAATGTTGTTGATGTTCCCTGTGTAATTATCCATAATTTCACATGCTGGGGGGTGGGTGGGAGTTTTCTTCTGGTTATACTCTGTTTTGTGGTGGGTGCATCGCTAAATTAGACAATGTATTCCACGCCATTTTTCTAGTGAGATGCCAGGAAATGGACTGTCCAGCCCCCAAAAATGGCTTGTTGCTTGTTCTAGTGAAATGCCAGGAAATGGACATACCACGCCATTTTTCTAGTGAGATAGAGTTTGAGGGTACATTTTGGGGGGCTTGTTGCTTGTTCGGAGAGAGGAAATACTGACTGTTTCCCATTTTTTTCCTCTCTTAGAAGGTTTTTAGGACACAGTTTGTGAGGTCCCACAATGGTTGGAGAGAAAAATGAAGCATTCCTTATAAGGGTGTAGAAACCTGTCTCTAGGAGATGTTTTAAAACCTCGAGGAGAAGCCCAAAAAGAAAAGCCCAAAGAGGAAAATATCTACTAGCGGTGAGGTCCCACATCGGTTGGAGAGAAAAACGAAACATTCCTTATAAGGGTGTAGAAACCTCTCCCTAGTAGATGCGTTTAAAACTGTGAGACTGACAGTGATATGTAACGGGCCAAAGTAGACAATATCTACTAGCGATGAGCTTGGACAATTACAAATGATATCATAACCAAGTATTGGGCGGTGTACAGCGAGGACGCTAGCCCCCAATGGGGGTGGATTGTGAGATCTCACATCAGTTTGAGAGGAAAACGAAGCATTACTTATAAGGGCGTGCAAACCTCTCCCTAAAAGACGCATTTTAAAACCTTGAGGGGAAGTCGAAGAGGAAAATCCCAAAGAGAACAATACAATTCTTGAGTTAGTTCTTGAGTTCTTGTTGTTGTCATGAATGTCAAATGTTACCCTCTCACTTTTGAGGTTAGAGCAATCAATTGCTTGCTTTTTTAGATTGATTGAGCTAACATCTCATTAACCTTCTAACATTCGGTCAGTTCTACTCAGCTAAGTGATAACTAAGAAATTTTTGGATAAATTTAGGTCTTAGATTGGTGATCAATATCATATCAGCAAATGATTTATCTGTCTCTCTCTAAAGCTACGAAGCTACGAACTTTTTAATATCCTTTCGATTGGAATGTGTATCATTTTCTCTCTTCTGCTTGCTATGATGTTTGCAGATACATAGCAGTTGGAGATGAACCATTTCTTGAAACTTATGGGGATCAGTATTATCCGTATGTCATGGGAGCAGTCGCCAACATCCAGGGAGCTATAGCCAAAGTAAACTTGGAGAGTAGGATAAAAGTTGTAGTCCCGTGCAGTTACGACGCGTTTCTGTCTGAATCTGGCCTTCCTTCGAAGGGACACTTCCGACCTGAATTGAACAAAACAATGATCCAGCTCCTGACATTTCTTACCAAGCATCGATCACCTTTCTTTGCAGCCATTTCCCCATACTTAAGTCTGCGTCAAAACAAGAATATTTCTCTCGACTTTACCCTCTTCAAGGAAACAGCACGCCCCCATAACGATAGCCATAGAACTTACAAAAACACCTTTGAGTTAAGCTATGATACCTTAGTTGCAGCTTTATCGAAGATCGGGTTTTCGATGGTTGATATAGTTGTGGCACAGATTGGATGGCCTACTGATGGAGCAGGGAATGCTAACTCATCAACAGCTGAAATGTTTATGAAAGGCTTGATGGATTTCATCCACAGCAGATCAGGAACCCCCCTACGACCTCGTCGTCCACCACTCGAGACTTATATCTTAAGCCTATTAGACGAAGATCAGAGAAATATATCCACTGGGCCATTTGAGAGACACTGGGGAGTGTTCACTTTTGATGGTCAAGCTAAGTACCATCTAAACTTCGGTCAGGGCACAAAAAGCCTTGTGAACGCCCAAAATGTTGAGTACCTCTCCCCCAAATGGTGTGTTCTCAACAACAACAAAGATTTATCTAATGCAAGTGCCAGTGCTTTAGAGGCATGTTCGGTCGCTGACTGCACTGCGCTCGTTTCGGGTGCATCTTGCTCTGATATTGTTTGGCCTGGTAATATTTCTTATGCATTCAATAGCTACTATCAGCAGAATGATCAAAGAGCAGACAGTTGTGACTTCGGAGGGTTGGCCCTGATCACAACGGTCGATCCATCGAACAGTAACTGCAGATTTCCTGTTCAAATTCGAACTTCGAATTCTCATTCACTTGATGCTTCCTCTCTTCTGAAGACAATATCATTATCAGCACTCTTTTGGCTATCTCAACTGGTTTACCACCAATAGACCAAATGTGACTTTCCTGTACGCTGTATCACAGCTTCGAGATCTAAGAAATGAGTCGTTTTCCGGGATCAACCGTTATCTTCAAATGAGGAGACGGCTCTCCTACCTCCAGATTTCGTGGTATGCTTCCTTTCTCCATTTTGGTTCCGATTCGAGTCGGGAAAAGTAAGTATATTTTCCATGTATATCTAGAACATGATGCTAACTTTGTCTAATGCTTTTTGAGGTTAGAGAAACTCGCATGAACTGAAGAACCCTCTTGTTATAATTGTCTAACAAGAACACAGATCCCCATTTACATTATCACATGGCCCCAATTTTCTCTGCTCTCACTATATAATTGACAAGATTTTGTTCAGATCATTAGCCATTGGATCTAGGAATTCAACTATCAGTTAGTTCCAACAACTCGATTTCTGGGTTTCTGCTAGAAACTGCTTCTATTTCAGCTATTATCGCCCTAAACAAAAAATCAAATAATTATCAAACGTATGAACTGGCCATGTGGTTTTGTAAGTCTTTCGAAGCTACACGGTCTTGATTGTCGAGTTTTTTCTTCTCCCTAGAATGTATTGTTTGAAATTTGAAACATGTTCTAATACGTAAGCATGTCAATATTTTATTAACAAACCCGTTTGTATGTCCGTTTTAGAAGTGTAGAGCTTCAAAAAGACGATTTCAATGTCTTTTATGTGGCTCAACTCAAATCGAAAAAAATGTGATTGATTAAGTTAATATTTTTGACGCTCTAAGCGTGTTCTTTCATTCCTATTTTCCTAGGTGTTCATTAGTCAAGCTCATGCTTTCAATGAGTTTCTTATTTTCTTGCTTTATTTACTTCGTTTTTATTCGATCTTATATATGAGATTACTTGATAATGTTCTTACCTAAATAAGAACAGCGAAACCAAATTACGTTCTTCTTCTTTCTATTTCATGAAAACCTATTGATTTAATCCACAAGAAATCAAGCTGAGTTAGTGAAATTTGATGCATAAAAGAAGATTATTGTGTAGTAGTATTAATGGAAGCCAGTTCATCGCCATGCGCCTCCTGCAAATTGCTACGGCGGCGCTGCACAAAGGACTGCATTTTTGCCCCATATTTCCCTCCCAATGACCCTCTCAAGTTTGCCATTGTTCATAAGATCTTCGGCGCCAGCAACGTCAGCAAAATGTTGCAGGTCTGACTCGAACTTCTAACATTTTAGTTTTTAACTATATGATTGCTTATTCATATTGTAAATGGTGTGTTAATCTTATTTAGAAGGTCTCAGTTGATCAGAGAGCGGATACTGTGAGTAGTATAGTATATGAAGCAAATGCTAGAATGCGAGATCCAGTGTACGGATGTGTAGGAATAATCTCATTTCTGCAAAATGAAGTGTCCCAATTGGAAATGCAACTAGCAGAAGTACATGCGGAGATCTTAAGCTTTCAGATGCAGCAACCAGTGGCTCCAATGACATTCCCGACAACCCAAATGGATCAGAGTTGCATGTTTGAACATTCAAGAAATTAAGTTTGATCACTCATGAGTACTCAAAGCTCAAGTGAGTAACGATCGCTCTTTTTACCTTGTGATCAACTAAATAGTAGCGACAATGGAGATTATATTCTCCCGTACACGTCCCACCCATCTCCACTTTATATATATATATATGGAAAGAAATTAGAATATTTTTTAAAAATATATATGGAAAGAAAATTGGAAAATAAATAAATTCAACAGAAAATTGGAAAATAAATAAATTCAACAATAAAAAATTGAAAAACATGTGAAAGGCTCTTCGGATGTACTTTATTATTATTATTATTATTATTTATAATTGCCACAAAATAAATAATCAGATTAAATCATAAAGAGGGAAATCTGGTTGAGAAATGCATCAATATTGGCATCGGAAGAACCATCTTCCGCCGCCGCTCGCCGGCAAATCTCTCGGAATTTCATCACATTTTTCCTCATCTCCCTTCCTTCAACGCTCTCTGAGTTCATAAATCTCTTCACAAACTCTGCAATCTCCACTTTCGTCACCAAATTCCTACCCCCAACTGCTTCAAATCGGACACCAATTTTCCAGTCCTCCACAATCTTCTTACTGTTCGGAACTTGGTCGCAGAATATCGGCCATGTCAGCATCGGAACGCCGGCGAAAACCCCTTCCAGAGTCGAGTTCCATCCGCCGTGAGTCCAAAACCCCCCGACGGCGCTGTGGCACAGAACCCTCAATTGCTCGCACCATTCAACCACCATCCCAGCTTCCTCATCCACGCCTTTCAACCGACCGTCGTCCCGACGCGCCACCCATAAAAACCGGACTCCGCTGGCTTTCACGCCAGCGACGATCTCGTCCATTTGGGCACTCGAAACTGAAAGAAAGCTCCCCTGCGAAACGTACAGAACAGAGCCTTCTGATTGGGAGTCTAGCCACCGGAGATAGTTGTTTGTGCCGCCGCGGCCGCCGTTTGGGGCCGAGGTTCCAAGCTCGAAATATGGTGTACAGGGCCCGACCGTGTAAACTGGGAAGGGAAATTTCTGTTTCAAAACATCGATTACAGAGGATTCCAGCTCGTAAACAGAGGTGGAGATGAGAAATTGGGCTTTGTCAATAGAACGCGCCGCTTCCAATGTTAAATCGATGACTTTCCGGCCATCGCCGGAGAAGAAAGTGGGAAGATCGGAAAGACGAGTCTCGGAAACTCCGGGAATGTAATCGACAATCTCTCCACCACGCTCTGAGTAACAAAAAAAACAACACATTTTCGTAAAAAATAATAATAATAATAAATAAATAAATAATAATAAAATAAATTTGCTAGTTTATGTGCAAAATAGACCTAGAGAAGTGTGAGCGTGTAAGTGTAGTAAAAACTGCCTACGTGTCGATCAAAAGTGAGAGCTCTAAAAAAAAAGAACCGAAGGCTATATAGGTCTAAGTAGAGGCTTATAGTGTACTTTGTTCGATGGGAGAATTGTTGGAAAGCCGAGATTTTATGTTGGAGAGGAGTCTAGGGAGCCCAGCTTAAGGTCAATATCATGGTACGGTCCAGAGTCGTGATTTAATTTTGGAGTACCTGAGAGGTCAGCTGGGAAATGGCCGTTTTCCTTCAAAAGGTCGAAATGGTAATATATGGAGAGAACTGTAACCGACATGGGCCAGAATGAAGCCACCGGAATATTGAGGCGGTTACCCAACCGGGTCGCCCACGTAAGGAAGGAATCGGCGACGATAACCACCGGCGGCGGGTGGAGGTGGGTGAGTAGATTCTGAACGGGAGCCTCCATTACGGTGTTGACTGATCGGAAGAAACCGGGGAAGTCGTCGGCGCGGCCGAGCTCAGAGGGGATGACGTTCGGGAATGTGAGGAATTGGATGTTTTGGGGTTTGGGAACGGCGGCGAGGAAGGTGCGCCACTCGTCGGTGACGATGAAGGAGATGAGAACGCCGGAATTTTTGAGAGAGAGGAGCTTGCAGAGGTTCATGAGGGCGTTGATATGGCCTCTGCCAGGGTAGGGTACGGCGGCGAGGTGGGTGAGCCGCCGTGTTGAAGAAGTGGTCGGAGCCATTTTCAGGGAATCAAAATGGAAGTGTAGACTGTGGAGGAAGAACAAGGGTCGGTCGGATAAGGATAACTTTAACGGTGCCTAAATATTACATTTACCCAACAACCGTAAAAATAGTTCTGTAAATACCGTGGTGAATATTGATGATAGGTAAAAATATTAGATAAAATTGTATGAATTTCATAAATTCGAACACGTGTTGAGCTGCGTCGAGACATTTTAACTTCTTTTAATTTAGGCCTGAAGTGGGCCCATCCGGCCCAAAAAAGGCCCAACTCCACGACGGAGACTGCCGTTGATGCTGACATATGATTAGAAAAATCAAGTTCGGCTGGGGCCCAACTTGCAACCGACCGCATTGGAATATGCCCCCCTTCTCTCCCCATGATCGCCCTCCACCGACGGCCATGATTTCGCCCTTGGAATAACATTAAGCGAAAAATGTGGACCATGTTTCAGACACGACATCCCCACATGGTTTTTCTTGGTCCTTTCAGTTTTTATTTTAAATATTTAATTAAATTCTAAATTTTGTTTTTTTTATTTTTTTATTTTTTATTTTTTTATCTTTTAATCGTTTAAAATTAAAACACACGAAATAAAATTTTAGAGTTTATTAAAAGTAAATTTTCATTTTATATTTAATATATAATTTATTTTTTAAATTTTTTAAATTTATCACATAGATAGAAAATTAAAAAAAAAAATAAAAAATTATAAACCCATATTTAAAAGTTCGGAGATAATTTAATCAAAATAAAGTTACTTCTAATCTTAAACTTTTATTATTTTAAACACTAAACCTTTTAATTTTAACCCTAATCAATTTTACTCGACTTTTAAATTTTTACCCTAATATTTATGATCGATTATAAGCTTTTTTTTTTTCTTTCTTTATTTGTGATTGGACCTATTTTGGTAATTTCACATGCTTTTCGTTGTCTTTACCCTTTTCATTATTTGATAGCTAAAATTCGAGTAGTTACATACCACATTTTAAAATTATAGGAAAATGACGGGCTTGGGAGGGGTGACAACATAGTTCATCGAAAGCAAAGGATAGTTTAGTTCGTTAAAGATGCAGCAATGACGATAGCAAACTCGTCGAGATGGGGATGGAAAGGTGTGAGATTCCATATCAGTTGAAAACGGGAACGAAACATTTTTTATAAAAGTGTGGAAACTCGTATTTGGTAGATGTTTTTAAACTTTAAAGGAAGTTGGAAGGTAAAACCTAAAGAGAACAATGTCGATTAACGATGAGTTTAAATTTTTTTTTATTAAAGTTAAGAGACGGGGCGTGACCTAACAGAAAGAAATCTATGGAAATAATTTTTATATATTTTTTAAAATAAATAATTATAGAGTTCTTATTGCAATATAATTAAACATGACCATACGTCTCACATGGTATTGGCTACTTGACTTAAAATATCGGCTCCAATAAGAGAAGGCCACGTGGAGAAAATTGACTAATTCGACACAGGCAAACAGGTCCCACGTGGCTTCCATAGACATCATCACGTTCACAATGATACACATCACCACATGATGATCCCCCGCCGTCACATCAGATCGGAGGTGCACATCAACCTCCATGGACTTCATGTACACTGGATTGTTGCTCTCACATATTTAATGCTCGACCGCCCATAACAATACCACTCTCGAGACTGTACAACAATCTAATGCAATCTTCTCTTCCCTTTTACCCATTTTTCACGCTCTGAACTTCAAATAAAAAAACTCTCCGATTCACAAATCTGCCGGAGTTTTTCATTGTGTTCTTCTCCATGTAGTTGTAGTGAACGGACTCTGGTACGGCGGAGCCATGGCGACGGCATTGGAGTGCTGGTCGAGTAGGGCTAGTACTGATGAGGATTTGGTGGAGCAGGTGCTGATGAGGACGCAGGATAGATCGGAAGGCTCCAAGCCGGAGAGTTCGTTGGCCGTCGGAGAGAAGGAGTCGTCGGCGATGCAGAAACGGTTGCAGAGATTTAGTCGGAACGTGTCGGAGGCGGTAGCGTCGCTTAAAAACTCCTTGAATCTGGACTCTGTTCGCGATCCCTCACCTACGAAAACCGAGGGGTCTAAGAAGGCTGTCTGGGGGAGTGTTGTGCGGAATCTTACTCAGCTCTATCCTGGCAGTCAGTTGCCGGAAAAGCTCGTCTCCAATATTCGCAAGCATTACGATTCATTGCCTCTTAGGTATGGACTCTGATTAGTAATGTGTTGTTGTAAGTTTAAATTCGTGTTAACTGCAGAGATGGATTGAAAAAGAACGATATATATTATCGCGAACTGATTGGAGCTAGTCTAGTAACTGAGCGTCTTAATGGACGATAGATCAGATATCTGTTTCGTAAACATTTTCTCATCCTCTTAATTCTGTATTTTGTTATCTGTTGTTTTTATATTATGAACAGTTATGCTCAGGCGGGGTTTGAGATTAAAGATGTCTTTCTCCACATCAAATTGATAGAGCAGGCATCTGTTTATGATCACCCTGCCATCTTATTTCAAGAAGTGACGAATCATGACGTTCAAAAACCTACAATAAAGCTCACGTTTGCTTGCAACTCTTTAGTTTCATGGTCAGCGATGTCTGGAGCGTTGGAGAGCGCTGGCATTCGCTGTGAGAAAATACAGATTTTTGAGAAGAAGAAATTTAGTCTTGGAGTCATCCTTTTTGTAAATCTAGATGCTCAGGAGAAACTCTTCAAATCCAAGGTTGAAAATGCTCTTAAATTGGCTATAAAGAAGCCGAAAACTAATACAGTGAAGCTCCCATTTGGATTTTGTGGATGCCAAGAAGGTAACACTGGGGGGAAAGATCTGAGAGAAATCGAGGAGGATGCTGTTGATCAAAATTGCAGAAGTGGTTTTGAGAACTCGAATTTGAACGAAAATTTACTGATTGAAATGCCATTATCAACTTCATCCTTTACTGTAACTGTCGATGAATGGCAAACAGTCCAATCTGGTGGACATGAATTGGGTAAATGGCTGCTAAGCTCCGAGAATCTTGAATTCACCGATCAGATTGGACCCAACTCGTTCAAGGGAGTCTACAAGGGCAGAAGAGTTGCTATAGAGAAGATTAAAGGGTGTGAAAAGGGAGTTTCTTACAAGTTTGAGCTCCGAAAGGACTTGTTGGAGCTGATGACATGTGGGCACAAGAACATTCTGATGTTCTATGGTGTTTGTATTGATGAAAATCATGGCCTGTGTGTGGTAACCAAACTAATGGAGGGCGGATCAGTCCATGAATTGATGCTGAAAAACAAAAGGCTTCAAATGAAAGAAATAACCAGGATTGCTGCTGATGTTGTAGAAGGGATCAAATTCATAAATGACCACGGTGTTGCTTATCGTGATCTTAACACACAGCGAATTTTGTTAGATAAGAACGGCAATGCTTGTTTGGGAGACATGGGCATACTCACTGCATGCCGAAACTTAGGCGAGGCAATGGAATACGAGACCGATGGGTATCGATGGCTAGCTCCTGAGGTCTGTTCACTATAACTCTGGTTGCACCTGGTATTATCTAAAGCTAGTTTCAACTATAGTATGCATTGAAAAGAACCAAACACATGTCTCTTGTTTTTAGCTGAATAGCTCAATATCTACTCGTTTCTTTTTTAATGAATTTATTTCTCTTTGGATTCATTACACTAAACCGCATGGGATGAGTCCCTTTCCAATTCAAGAGACTTTATGTCACTTTCTCCATGTTGGTCCAGTGTGTATAGCATACCGTCATGATCGAAGATGCTTTACCCATCAGTATATGACCATTAAGATTAGATTTCACTGCACCATCTGTTTGGCCGAAACTTTGAATTGTTGCCACTTTGTGGAGTCCGCCATCTTAAAGCACCTGCTCCTTTCTTCCAAGAAATTTGAAATTCCTTTAGATGTCATCTCCAATTGTCATTACTATCATTTAGAGTAATGACAGAGACAGGTTTTATTGAATTGTATTTGTTGCTCTATCTGGCTTGGCACAGATTATTGCTGGTGACCCGGAGAGTGTTAACGAGACATGGATGAGCAATGTATACAGCTTTGGAATGGTAATATGGGAGATGGTGACTGGCGAGGCAGCATATGGCGCATACTCGCCAGTGCAAGCGGCAGTTGGTATAGCTGCGTGTGGTCTGAGACCTGATGTTCCAAAGGACTGCCCGTCCAACCTGAAAGCTCTGATGATCAGGTGCTGGAACAATTGCCCATCGAAGCGCCCACAATTCTCCGAAGTTTTATCAATGGTGCTGGACTCCAACAATAACAGTCATAAATGAAGTAAGTATCTTCCTCTTAATCTAAATTAATTCAAAATGTTTACTCAAGTTATTGTAAAGGGTTCCTTCTGCTCTGCCTTCAATGTAGATGTGAGAAGTTTGTGTTGTTAGGATATTAATCCATCTACTTCTCATAAAGGAAAAAAAAAAAAAAAAACCCAGTATCACCATAGGAAAACCAACCCTCTTACTCAGTTACCACCACCCCGAAAGCAGGAAGATGACAAAGAAAGATCTTGAGAGAAAGTTCATATCTGTATTGTATGAGATGGAGAATGGATTCTTAAGAGATCATTTAATGTATGACTGAAGCAGATTCTGTGTAGCATGGGGTAGAGATAGGGAAAGAAATGATATTTACAGAGATTCCAATTGTTAAATCACTGCCAGAATAGGTTAATGTAAATTTAATCTTATATGATATGGTTTTATGTGGAAAATCTGTAGCAACGAAGAAAGGGTAGTCTGACTTCTCCTAGTTCTTACCTTTATGCTTTAAAACCATATGAGAGAGCACACAAGTTACTTTTGTTGCTTTCTTCTTCTATTTCTAACATGTTAATATGAATATTTTATATGCCAACTTTATTGAATTTATGAGGAAGAAAAAGAACCGGGCAGGTTATGACTTACAATCGATTTATGGTTCGTTAAGTGGGAACATTTTGTGTTGACGAGTGGCATATTGACATGATCTGACCCGTGTTTCAAGTCACTCCAAAACATGTTGCCATGATCTATGCAATGCCCTTGATGATATTATGACCCGTGTGTCAAAGTCATGCCAAAACATATTGACATGATCTCGATGACACCTTTACTGATAAATCAAATTTAATAGGTATGAAAATCACATTTAAAACGGTCTTTTACATTGATTTTTATTTGAAAAAAATGCTTTTAATAAATTTTAAATGAGCTGGAAACATGTTACTTGGATTTATTATGGTTGATTGTCTACCTAAGAATTGCTTGATTTTACTCGCATTAAAATTACTCTTTGGTTAGTTGAATTTGTCATTTATTATCTTGGTTGACTTTAATCGTCTTAGTTCATTTTTTGGAAACCTCATTTTTTAGGCCGTTAATACATACATACAAACATACATAATTTAAAATTAAAAATAAAAAACAAAATGGCATTGGATTAGTGCCTGCATTTATGATTTATGGGTCGTGCTATTTTCCATTTTAAAATATAATTTACAAGTTTTTTTTTTTATAAACTTTTTTTAAATGTTTTCTTATTATGTTCTTGTTTATTTATTCCATTTACATTAAATTAGAAACTGTGTAGTCATTTATAGGCACGTCGTTTTGGTAAGCATTAAATAGCACACGTGAAAACAAAGATTCATTTTCTGTTTTTCTGTTTTATTTATTTTACAAATGTATATCTTTTATTTAATTATAAAAGCAAATTATTTAAGTTCACAAATAGGAAAAAAAAAAAAAAAACCTTCGAATTCAAATATTATTTTAAGTTAGGCTTTAGGGTTTATCCATTCCACAAAAGTATTTTGGTTTTTGTCACTCTCTAGAGATCGGAAAAATTATAAGCATCAATATTAGTTAGAAACTCCGACGATTAATCGTGATTTTAAGCTTCCAGTTTCGCAAATTATTTAAATTTAATTAATTATATAATTATCAATGTAATCGTAGTTGAACATATCTTGACTCCGTATGTCATAAACTCGAAAAGATATTCTTAAAAAAAAGAAAACAAAAGTGTCCAATAGCAACTTGTAATAAAATAATATTTTGACATCCAATTAATTAGCGTATAATAATTAAAAAATGAAGTAAAAATAAATAAATAAATAAAGGAAAATAAAGGGCAGATGTAGCGAGAGTAGCGTGTTCCTTACCGTACCGAAGCATTTCTCTTTTTCCTCTTTTTCTCCCGCAATGGAGAGAGGAATAAACAGCATCTGTCCCCAATCTTCCCGAGGCCCCAAACCCTAGAGATCGATAAACCATGTCCCTGCAAAAAACCATATTTGCCCTTCTTCTCTTCCATATATGAACCCTTTTCACCTTCCATTTCCTCTCCAAGAAACCTCTGGATTCCACCTCAATTCCAAGAGCTTTAACCGTCTTCATCGCCACTGCGCCACATCCCCCATTTCCCCCTTCAGATTCCTTCCTTCATCTTCGTTTACGCTCCTAATCGGTACGTTTCCTTCTCCCTTTTTCTCTTAATTAATCTCTTTTTCTCTCTCTTTTTTGTTTTCGTTTCGCTGTTTCTTTCCACTCTCAAATCTGTGCCCATTTCCTGGATCATGTGGCCTGAGCTAGGGTTTATCGGTCTTCCTCCGATCGGTGATCTTTTAGTGTTTCGAGAGGTTTATGGCGGAGTTCTTGATGAATTATTTCTGGGTTTTGTTGTATTGCTTGTTTTCTTCATCATGCTGAGGTCTTTTGGGGTTTTCAGCAGCCTACTGCACTTTATGCTTCCTAGGAAGAGAGCTGGTGAAGAAGGTGTGGCTGTAGAAGAAAAAACTGATAACAGCAGCAGCAGTAACAACAACAACAACAACAACAACAGCGTTCGCAACGAGGGTGCGTCTCTGATCAAGAAGCAGCGGATCGATTCCGACTCCAACGCCAACAGTAAGGTAGCTGCTGTTGCCACCGGAGCTAACAACATCGTGTACGACGGTGCATCGTTGATCATGGCCTCGGCTAATTCTAATCCGCCGGATATTGATGAGGATCTGCACAGCCGACAACTTGCTGTGTATGGCCGCGAAACCATGCGGAAGCTTTTTGCGTCCAATGTCCTCATTTCGGGGATGCAAGGTCTTGGCGCTGAGATTGGTAAAAACTGACGGAACTCCTTTTTTTTTTTGCTAATTTTGCTTATACTGATCCGCTCCCTTGCATGTTTAGGGTCTGGTACCTGTGTCTTTTTGTTTTTGGCCGTGCTAGATGTTCATTAATAACTAACGAGCATCTGACGGTCGACCTTTTTGGCTTAAAATGTCCACACCTTCTATATATATGTGTGTATATATATTTACATTGAAGCGCATTCTCTTGGTCTTTCATTAGAGCTGACTATGCTTTCTGTTTTTGCTTAATATTGTTATCTTATTTGGATTTGATTTGCGAGGGGATTTTCTTCATGCTTGCTTACTTTTGGCTCTTAATGTTTAGTTCTTAAGTTTTCTATTTTAACGATGATTTATTGTATTTTGCGTCTCTTCCTGCAGCAAAGAATGTTATTCTTGCTGGGGTGAAGTCTGTGACCTTGCATGACGAAGGTATAGTGGAGCTATGGGATCTGTCTAGTAATTTTGTGTTCTCAGAGAGTGATATTGGCAAAAACAGAGCACTTGCCTCTGCTCAGAAGTTGCAAGATCTCAACAATTCTGTCATTGTACACACCTCGATGACTAAGTTAGTTATGGAACAACTTTCCGAATTTGAGGTATTCTATCTTTATGCATATTTTCTACTCATTTCTTTAAGGAGTGGTTAGATTCATCATATACTACATGTGTTCCTAAAAAAACGCATCCATTGGAATTGGAAGCCTAGCTTATTAAAACCATTTGATACATTGTATGCGAAATAAGAAGTTTAGTGACAAGGCCTACACTTCACTTCCAAATGTTCATATTTCTCTATTATTTTGTCTGGAATTTTGTATAGAACTGTAGAAGTTATGGTCATCTAATTTGAAAATCCCACATGACCTTCTGATGAAGGTCAACTGGTATTCTCCTCACTTTATTTGTTTATAATTGTGAGCTTATGTCTTAGATTCTTGTATCATGTATCATTCTTATGTTACGTAGTAGACTGTTTCTTTATATTAGCCTATTGAGCACAAGATTCATGGCAGATCATCTCCAAGGCTTCCATTTGAAATGGTGATTGATACCTTCTCATACTCCTGAACTGCCTCTTGATGTCAAAGTAAAATTTGGTTTCAGAGTTCCCACCAAATTCTTCAAGGCACAAAAACAATCCAATGAGAGAGCCTTTTGTTTTCTTGTGAATGTTACACCAATTTGGTCAGAATGTGCATTTTGGATGTATATTTTTGCAAGTGTTGAAGCCTCAATTAGAAAACTCTAAACGACCCCCGTTAACTCTTTGAGGGAGTTGCGTTATCTAAGTGTTGTTAGGAAGTCTATTGGCATTTGAAGTTTTCTTCAGAGAGGCCATGGTTGGTAATTTTGCACGTCATATCATTTAGACATACCATGAGACCGTTGCCTGAACCTTTGCTAGTAGTTGAAAGAACACCGTGATTGGTTGCCATAAGGTTTAGTCTCTCTATCTTGTAGCCATTGGAGTTCTTGTGGAAGTAAAAGAAAGGGGGTCCTTACTATGACGTTTCCAATATTTTAGAAATGTGACTATTTTTTTTATTAATATAGACGACTATGGTGGTATGTATGAGCTAGAGTAGTATCCATAAATGGTGGTGGGCAAATAGTGTTGACTTTGTTTGGAGGAGCTTTTTCCTAGATTTTGTTGGGGTCCATAGTTAAGCTTAAACCTTTATTTGGTAAGAGAGTTGGAAAAGTTTCCTAGTAGTAGCATTGGCAATGTCACAACCATACTCTCTCCGAGAGAGTAGGTTGTGACCCTCATGTCAAGACAAGCAAAGCGGCGGCTCTCAAGTGGTGTTCGTTTGGGCACGCAAGGGTCAATATAGAAAAATGTCATGATGTGACTGAGGAGGAGGGTGCATCATCCAACACACCATATAATGTGTGCATTGAAGAGGAAACGAGACATAAGAAAGATAGGGACAATGAGTGGACATGAGTGTCAAAGATAGGCTTGTTGAAGGGTCGGGTAGGGCCTTGAGCCTTAACCTTGAAAATTGGGGTTTTGGAGGGAACTTGGGCATGCGGGTCTTGAGTCAAGTCCATCCATAGGAAATATGAAAACTCATGAAATTTGGTGTCAATCGGACCCTGAACGAACGCTCCACGACACTGTATGTCCATTCACCAAAATCATGTCTACACCTGCCACTTTGGAAATGCCTCAGGATGTGCTATAGGGGGAGGCATGGTGTTACCTCTCCACCACCTCTGGGCCCGGTGACCCTAAGCGAGCTACCCTGTGGCATGTGTGTCACATTGAGGGCAAGGATTTTGAGATGAGTGTCTCGGGCGACTTCCTTTGAAATGGGTCTTTCAAGTACATTTTTTTAGCAAAAACAGGTGTGTTGGTATTGCACCCTTGCCCGAGTATCGAAGGTTGGATTTTGCATCATCGCTACTTGGTACGGTATCCGTAAATGACATGGTATGGACATAGGAGGGCCAATGCCTCCATAAGAACTTGGGTGGATGGATGTTTAGGATGTCCTGAGATTATGATTAACACGAGGGCCTGTTCTTGATGGCATGATCGAGTGAGTTAAAATGGCTGACGACACTCCATAACTTG